AGAGAAATTGGCCTATAATTTGAAACCTCATGTTTATCCCCTTTCTTGAATATTGGTACAATGTGCCCCAGTTTCCACTCCCTTGGTAGTGTCCCAATGTTGTAGCATGAATGAAAAAGTATTGATATAGGGTATGCGAGCCCAACCGCACAGTTTTTCAAAAGTTTCCCATGGATACCATCAGGTCCATAAGCTTTATTAGCATTAATATTGGAAAGGATTTTGCTAACCCTTCTGTGGTCAAATTCAATATCAAAGCGCCAATCATTAGAGTAATCTATATCTATGTCATAAGTTGATGCCTCAGAGAACTGCTCGAAGAAAAAGTCATTAAATAGGTTGGCCTGGTCTTCAGGGCAGTTGCGGACAGTGCTGAGCAAGGCCTTTATCTCTCCGACGAGCGGGATCATCAACAACCTCGTTAAACGCTGTTTTAGTACATATAAACAGTAATCTGATCAAGAAATCAATTTTATCTTCTTTAAAAGTCTAGAACACACGTACATGCACCTCCTTCAGTCTTTGAACCCGACTTTATCCTTTCGGTGGCTCCTAAACGCGCTGCTTTCCCTAGCAAGAAACATGAGCCCCTTTATCGGACTTTCCATCTCAGACGATGGAGGCATCTAGACTAGATAGCTAGATGTGAGGAGGAAATATTATAGATAACCCCGAAATGAAAGTGAATGCGAAGATTCTATTAGTCGATGTTAGAGTGGACGCCAATGTTCCTTCTAACATAACAGTCATACTGTATTAAGTTCTCACTATAGGATTAAAATCCATAATAGTTTTAGCTGCTTTTATATGAATTACAGCGTACAGAGATACGATATAGGAGATTATCGTGCCTGAAATTAACTCCAATTTATTGTTTATATTTCACTTGATGCTTGGTAATTGGGGTCGATCATATTAGGTTATTGGGGACGAAATGAGAGTGTCCACTCTGTGTAAAACAAAATGCTTCATGCATTCATAATCATATTGCATATAAAGTTTCCGGTGATTGCTCCAAAGACTCTTTTGTATTTCCGCCAGATGTGAGTGCAGTATTTGATACTCTATCTCGAATTCATTCATTTTCCCCCTGATAAGTGCTTTTCTGAATGATTCAGTGCTAATTGATTCAATTAATACTTTCGTATACGGTTTGACCAAACATACCTTACAGATCTGAACCAATAAAAACATGCGACTCCCTCTAGGCTAGATTTTGCAGAGTATTTCAGTCCAATAAGAACCTTTGTAGAAACAGAAGTGGAGATTGATGGATATTTTCAGCTCCTGCGCTATCTGCTTCTCATCCCTCTGTTTCAAAAGTTACTATGATGAATGTTTAATTAAATAACTAAATTTAATATATCAATTCATATTCTACTGCTTCTGATTTGTGTACTGTGGTTTAACTCTGGAATACGTTAAGACATTTTTTCTTAAGAGAAGTTTTTCTCGTTTTCTCCAGATCCTCAGTTAACTGTTGAATCGTTTGTTTGAAATTATCTCCATTTTAAGGGGGTTAGATTGAAGCTTAAGGATTTCAACGTTAGATAAGGTCGAAACACTAAATAATAATTAATATACATTATACAATACGATTATAACTATGGTGGAGGATTAAACTTCAGTTAAGTAACTTATCCAGTTCTTACTAAGTCTTCCTTTCACCTTCAATTGGTACATGCTATCATATTTTTGCTCATCCACACATGAGCATTGCAGGCGTACATCACAACATTACTCGTTAAAAGATATCTTTTGGCTACTATTCTCGTTGCTTTACCCTATGGTTAAAAAATAATAAGTTATGAAGAATTTATAACTTATTCAAAGTATTCTCTGTTTTTAAAAGATTATTGTGATATTGAATATAATATAACTGTGGTGAAGCAGTAAACTTCAATAAAGTAACTTTTACAGTTCTTGTTAAGTCTTCGTTTCACCTTCAATTGGTACATGCTATCATATCTTGGCTCCTTCACATCTGCCCTGAATTTCTTAAATATTTAATCACGATCCTTTAAATTGAAGCTCCCTTTTCCTTGGCCCAAATCCCATGCTGAAGTTCGCATTATAATAGGCTGTAACACACGAGTATGAAGTGCTAAATGTCTTATTATCCGAACGACGGCAGTTCCAACCATTAAAAAATGTGTACCTTGCTCCTTGCTCGTAGTTACCTTACTTTACAGATGATGGTAACCTAACCCAGTCACTACATTTACATGTTGCTTTTTATTGTTTCCCTCTATCTCATCATAAGACGGGTTCTAGATCCATACTACTCCCCCCTACTACCCTCCCATATTATTGCTGTAACTCTCGTGTTATAGCGTTTCTTGATTCCTGTTTAACGAACATATTTATTTAAAATAATTTATGATATCGAAATTTATTTTCTTATCCTGATACTTTTGTGTACGCTAACTCACACGTGGTGTCTTCTTATTCGATCATGTCTCGAAATACATTCAGCAATGTTGAGCCTGATGTTGAGCCTGATTTGGTTTGGGTATTAAGTATTAACAAGTTCCTTCAATGGAACTTCTACGTTAGGAAATATGTTCAGTTTTAGAATATGTTTTATGGAGAATGAAATCGCTTTGTTTAAGATATTTCGTTACAAGCTTCATAATGTCAAACTGAACGAGATATGAAATTGTATTATTACAATATTTGCAATACGCTCTAGGCAATAATCCAAGAACTGCAAGTTTTTGAGGCTCTAGTCGTGTCATCAGATTTATAAGCAACGACGACAGATCGTCTGTGAACTTTTTTACCTTGAGTTCAGGAACAAGGAGTTTCTCGACATGTGAATCATTTGTCCCAACCATGACCACACAAGTACCAAAGTAACCTTTTGCTCTTGAAGACAGCTCATTCAATTGATTATTCAATCCCTTCATACTGTAGCCACCAAATGCCCGAGTGTAGCAGGTAAATAATATTCCGATGAATGATAAGATTAATAGATTCGTTCCAAATGGTAAGATAAGATAAGATATGTATTACTATTACATACTAAACCTATGAAAATATGTTGTAAAACAGTGGCCAAAACAGACGCGTACTACATAATGATAAGAAAGACAATATTAATGATTATTACACTATTACATTATTACAACACTGTGCCCTTCTTAAGAAGGAACCGGTTTCACTGTTATCATTATATAGATAAGACTAGATGAGAACCAGTTCTCACTGTTATCTTGGAACTCAGTTACCTCCAGTGTTAAGATAGTCATTTGGTTTTTTTATGTGACATATTGTACTTGTTTATTTAGGTGTCTTGGAAAAATATGAGATTATCTTTAATAATTAATACATTAACACGACAATAGATAAATAAGTATATGTCATATATTGGAGATCGAGCTGTCCGTTTTGCTCTCCGTCGAGCTGACACAGCAAGGCTGAATTAGAAGAAGTAAGGGTTGGAGTTAGCATTAAATTCAGAAATTTTGTCAAGATGTTCACGCAATCGGTAATTCCCGACTCTCAGATTACATTCCCAAAATTTTAACGCAAAATAAGATTTAGATCAACATCTAGATTTTAAAATAGTAACATAAAGTTTTTATTCTCTGACTCTGCATTCCTAGACGAATGGTAGTTCTACTAATTAAACCACACTTTCCACATCCAACTCTCTAAGTTCCATTATAAAAGTACCCGCAAGTGTGACGGGATCCTGAATATTTACGAGCTCCTAACCCCCCTAATTACTCCTCTATCCTCAATAACAAGGGTCCTCTTCTCTCTCTCCTCTCCTGTGTATAATGACCGAGATCTGGTGACTCAGTGCTGTCCTGTAGTTGCTTAGAGATTCGCTCAGCTCCTTTTGTTTGCCTCATAAATTTATTCAGGGTTGGTATTAAAGCAGGGTAGGTGTTCAATTATCTCTGGCCCTTTGTCTGGTATGCACCCCACCATTTGTGGTGTATGCAGTGTCACCTAGCGAGTGTTCGGAATGTAACCTGTTTCGTTACCCCGCGGCATTGCTCCCTTCCCCGTCATTATGAAACTTGTTCTCATTTCGGGGTGGTTAATTACTAATTACCTCATTAGTCAAACCAAGCTTATTCGAGATGGCTTGGCATCGTCACTTCAGTACTCTTCCTGATTCGTATCTTGTTGTTGATTATCTCGTTGCTCCTTAAATAATAACCTAATATGACGGCATCGTATTAATAGTTATTAGTTTACTATAAAAGTCGGTATTAAACCTTGTCACACACATAGTTTAGTTCCCGCCCAAAGTGCTGTTAATCTAAGATTCCCAGCAGCAACTCAGCCCACGTGACTACTACTAAACCACTTAGTGGATTATATAACCATTTATACCCTCGTCCCGGACGGGAGGGGACAATTGCTGTCCCTTTAGGTGCTCTCTTTCTATGGTATTATGTCTGGTGTACATGCAACCTAAGGGCCTCTCACTTCCGGGAAGAAAGACTCTTAATGTTTAAATTCTCCTGTAACCTTGCTATGCGAGTTGTGGTACATTTAATTATTTAGCTTGTATATAGTTGGGAGATTATTGCCTCCTCTAACTCTAATGATTCTCTTTGTTGTGTATGTAATACAGCTTGACATTCTGAGTTTTCTGACGTTGAAACGAGTATGTTTGTTCCACCTACCTATGTTGAGCTTCGCTTTTTATTTTGTATTTATAATTAGAGACGTCTTTTGTTTGCTGATATTTTTAGTGTAAACAACAATAGCAAACTTTCTACAGCTATTGTTTTTTGATCCCATGAACAGTGTTCATTGAACACGCATTTAAATTAAAGAATAAACTTGTAGTTGTAGGAGAGCGTTAGGGTCCACAAGATAGTTACAGCATCTTGTAAATATGTTTCTGGCCCATATGTTTCTTGCTCATATGTTTCTGACCATGCCAATCGTTGAATCATTTCTTTGTAAAGTTGTAATTGCTCTTCAAATTGAGTTTTTGTCCCTAAATTCTCAATTCTCATCCCACCAATATTATAGCGGAGGGTGGTTATCAAAGCTCTTCACAGAAGATCTTCGCTAAACCTGTCTAGGCCTGCATGGCCGACGATGACTACGGATCCTCCTCCTACCACACCTCCTCCTTTCTCTCTCAGTTCCGGGGTTCCGCCAAACTCTCCACTAAACAGTACTTCCTGTTATGGTGTCGGTACGACGTGCAAAGGAACGGGTATCTGACCCGCAAAGAACTGGAGATGTTCCTGGCTGAGTTGCTGATGGTGACCGGGGACATCCACTTCTCCCGAGAGGACCTGAGTCAGATGACAGAGGGTGTCCTCACTCAGTTTGACAATAACAACAGTGACTGTTTGGAAATGTGGGAACTGACGGAGATAATTCCAGTTGAGGAGAACCTGCTCTTTAAGTTCAGAACTCAGACAGCCATCACAGGACCTCAGTTCACAGCAACCTGGAGGAAATACGATCCCTTTCGAGCTGGTTTGATGGAAGCATGTGACATACACGACTTTATGCTTGATATAATCGGTACAGTCTGTGACATGCAACAAATCACACGATCAAAGCTAACAGAACTCACCCGGAATGTGGTGGAGATCCTCGACCTCAGGGTCGGCTCCAAAGTTAGAATGGCAGACATGGCCTTTCTGCTCAACGTCGACTCTACCTTCATGAACTGCATCAAAAACGGTGACAGACTCTCAAGATCAGAATTTGGGGAGTTTTTCGACCACTATGATGCGGATATGAACGGTTTCATCGAGGGGAACGAGCTGATGTTACTTATGGGAGATCTGATGTCCAGATTTGGGATTGATCTGAACGCGACAACGCTAGCAGACACTTTGGGGAACGTACTGGACAGTTGCGATGTTGATGGAGATGGGAAGATTAATAAGGAGGAGTTGGCTCTTCTCTTCTCTCATATTGACCCGGAGTCTTACATCTGGGGTAAGTTTATTATGTTAATATTGTTTTTTAATGGTTTTAAAAGGTAAGTGATCTGAAATTGTCAATTACCTTTTGGTTAGCAATGCGATCTTTTAAACCTATATTCGACTTTCTCTTCGAAATCGATAGATGTTATTATAATACAATGTTTAAAATTATACATAGAAATTTGCTTTTTTAAGTATGTAAATGTAAATCACAAGATCTTTATTGAATATATGCAATACATATAAACTTATACATTATACATGTATATCTTTAAGGTTATACTAATTTACATACATGGAAAATATTTGTCCCATTGTCATGACGTACAACTATTGTACTAGCTATTGTACTAGCTATTGTATCTATCACAACTAACATGGCCCTTGGGAGGGCTTGTTAAGACTGTTCGTCAGTTTATCACCTCTACATTTAACTATAAATATAACTATTTGTTGGTCATGTTTTCCTTAGAGATCACTCTTTTCTTCTTGGAAATATGCATTGACAAACAATCGCACCTGTTAGATATTCTTCACATGCATGTTATTGAGTAAACATGTATCCTTATTCAAATTGTGCTGGAGCCTAAACTAGAGTTTTCTCAAAATCATTAGACACAATAGAATTTCAGCTTAGATAATTGTAGACTCAAATACATTCTATACCTGAATAATCTATAATATAAAGTTTTTCATCAGTGCTGAGGTCAGATTTGAATTCTGTCCTTTGTTCACTCTCCTTAACGTAAGTATACCCCTTTGCTCAATATCGTCGAGGTATTCTCTGAACTCTGTGATTCGTGTGTATCAAACGGAAGGTTCAAAGGCTCGATACTAAAGTGGATCCTGGGTTTTCAGTGTTCAATTCAGTGTGAACACTAGGCTACTAGAAGTAGCAGTATCCTTGTGGTGTTTGGAAGACATCTTCAACCGTTTTGTTGAGGAGGTCCTGATAGAATTTGACAAGATAATATAGTTCGGACATTTTCGTGCTACTGTTTATTATCTAGTCTATAGTCTAAATAGATAAATATGAAGTCAATGTCAGCAGCTTGTGTTTCACAAATGAACGAAAATCTATCCTCTAGCTCTTGGCTTTAAGTCTTTCGAGACACTCTCTCGCGAAATTAATCTGCTTGAGCTTCTGATGTGTTCATCAGTAGCAAATATTTACGTTTCAGGACAAACGCTGATATTTGTGTGTAAAAGTTTTTGTATTCGAATTCTATTACTATCGTTGATTTCTGCGTTCTCTTTTGCAGTTACAAATTGTTCGGGAGTCTTAGACTACATCGCTGGTAGCCCTTAGTTATATTAATAACGCTCCCTCTCTTTTTCTAACTGTACGTCCAAATATCACGTTTCCTGAATATGACTTTAGGTAAAAATAAAACTTTATCCCAATTATAAACCTCTTGGTAAGATACTGTTGGAAATGTTGAAGGCTTCGTAGCATACACACAGTCATTTTCTGGCTCATCAAATTCATTATCACTGCTGTCGCGATGCCAATTCGCTTTTGCAAAGCATCGTCTTTGTCGTTTACTTTCCGGAGGAGTGTAGACAGTAGCTTGTAGGTTACCGATGCTCGATCGCATAACTCCTCGGCTATCAGCTGAGGAGTCACCATCTCAATCTTTAGTTGTAACTTGTTACTGTGAGGTTGGTTATCGACCCGTTCTCGTGGAACGACTCCACAGGATTGATAACATCGTAAACAATTCTTTGTGATCTTACATTCAATAATCAATAACAACACGATCGAATAAGCTAATTTTTCATTAGAACGCATACCGTGAGGAGTGTCATGAGGGTGTGAAAGTTCCCGTCGTACTCAATGAAACAAGAAATTTCAATGAAACAAGAAATTTAATTTTAGCACATTTTACAGAATAAAAGATGTAAAACAATTCATAAAATATAATGCCCATTTGGTGTATGACTTTTTGTCCTTGACTGCTTGTTTGGTTTTGGAAGGACAGGTAACTAACGGGGCAAGGAATGCGCGTGCCTGGGAGCTTTTGCACACACCAAAACGCTAGTTCAGTTAAGTTTTTAGAGACAAGGCTCACATTAGGACTATACGAAAAATTGTTAGCAGACATTAGGGGTTCTGTTTAAAGTTTTTACTATATAGGTTGCAGTCTTGTTGTGACAAAAAGTCTACACTAAAATGCTTGATTTTATATTGTGTAGTTCAAGGATTAAAAATGCACCTTCAAGGTTGATATTGGAGAGCAGGCGAAAGATTATGGCTTAAATTTATCAATGGTTATAATAAGCTATAAATATTTTAAACTATACAATGCTAATTAAAAATTTCTTTATACTTCATTCTCAAATTAAAATTTAAAAATTCAAAAATATACATTCATTTTATTAAAACTTTCTCACACATACTTTACTCACAGGACAAGACTTGGAAAACAGTAGTCTAGGGTAATTTAATTTAGATGTGTGTGACCAGCCAGTTATAATGTTGGCTGGTCACACACATCTAAAGCTGGTGTACTGGGTTGTTGACACTTGCCATGGCAATCTTGGCATTCTGGACTTTCTCTTGAGTCATCTGGTCGCCAAAAAACCATGTGATCTGAAGCTTGTTAAAATTGGAATTATCATTCTTTTTAGAAATGTGGATGCCCTCAAAATGGTAACTAAAGACGTATCTAGTTTTAATTACCAAGTCGAGTCCGTTCGATTTCTGTTTCCTCTTTTGTCTGTATACGTGTCAGATCTACGATACGTCTCTTCTTTTTGCCAAAGCAAAGACCGGCCTTTGTCCTCGGGGATGTGGCAGTAAATGGATAACTTAATAGTTTACCTTATCTTCATAATGTTATAAGGATCATGAATATTACATATGCGTAAGCAGTTGGTCGTAAATATAGATACTAATAATAATATTTACGCATTATTCGTCTTCATTTTAAATTTTTTTTTCCTATTAGGGGGTGTCGGCGCCCGGGTTTGTGTTTGTATCTCCTTACTCCTTTATATTAATAGACGTTTAAATATTATGCGAAACTTCCCGATTGTGGCATCAAGGGTTGTGATTCTTTTTTCCAGTTTTTTCACTGACTGGAGTATGTGGACATAAAGCCCTCCTAGGAGCAATAGCACTTCTTTGTCTTTTAGTTGGTCCGCAATGTCCTGGAGTGGTGATATTGATATTCGATTTCTTTTAATCATTCTTCGCAATGAAACCACTACAAACATAATCTATCAGCAAACCATTTGTTGTACACGGTACGTGACTAGGACTCTAGTATTTGTATCTTTGTTTTCAGTGGATGTTTCGTTCATAAAAAATACTAAGTCAGCGTATTTCCTGTTCGAATTCCACCTTGAACTTACGTACTGTTTTACTGCCGTCCCAATGGACATGTCCATAGTGTTTAAATCTACTCTGCGTGTACCGTTCATAATTGCGCAAGGATCCATCACGTCTGGAATTTTACAAATATTTAAAAGTAAAACAATATCCTGATCAGTCTCAAAAGTTATATCCCGAGGTGTCGGCGCCCGGGTTTGTGTTTGTATCTCCTTACTCCTATAATAGACGTTTACATATTATGTGAAACTTCCCGATTGTGGCATCAAGGGTCGTGATTCTTTTTTCCAGCCTTTTCACTGACTGGAGTATATGGCCATAAAGCCCTCCTAGGAGCAATAGCACTAGGATAAAAATCTGTCAAGCATCATTTTTGGATTTGTGATTGAATAGACGTTTACATATTACGTCAAACTTCCCTATGGTGACATCAAGTCTTTTCTCCATTCTCTTCGCTGACTGGAGTAGGTGAGCTGGGGACTTCTGGCACTCTGATCACTGTTATGAAGCTCTTTTATGAGCTAGTATTCTGAGCTAGGAGGCCCACCACCTATAAATCTCGACTTCACCACCATCGGTTGATAGTGGTGCTGTGGATAGGTATACCTTGATGTATGCATTTCCGTTTTTGCTTTGTTTGGAGGTTGGGGCTGGTGAGGTCGATGGTTTGGAGGTTGGAGGTGGTTGGATGGTTTGGGGGTTGATGGCCATCAAACCCGATAGCTCAATCTAGTTTTCTCTTTCGATAACCACAGCGCGACAGAGGGAGTTGAGCTGAGAAATGCAAAACATGAGTGATTAAAGCAACGCATCACTTCAATTTCATGTTGATTTAATTATCTATGAGTGTAATTTAGTTTTTTCCCTGTTTGATCAAGACATCTTGCAACTTAGAAGAAGTATAGCAAATTAACCTGAACTTCTAAAATTATTGATATCGTATTAAATCTCACAGCCCACCTCTAGATTTGAGGTGGGCTGTGAGCTCCACCATTGGTAAATATCCACCTCTCCCCCGTCAGTTGTTAATGCTGCTGTGGATAGTATTAGGTATACCTCGATGTATCCATTTCCGTTTTTGCTTAACTTTTCGTTGCTACACCCCATATGCATATAGGTCGCTAGACCCAAGATTCTTCCTTTCATTCTGAATATAAGTGAATTATGGAGTTGTTCTTTAGTTGTTATATATTAATGATAATAAATTAATAATAATAAATTAATAAAATCTACGTGATCTTTAAGGGACATAGATTCGTTTAAAATGACGAATATCATTTAGCCCAGTGTTTCTAAAATTAGATTTAATTAATGTTTCTACAATTAATGATTAAACTCCAATACAAGACCACAAATTTATACTATCTATAAAGTATTATAAATGTAACACTCATCAGTTTATAATAACAATACAATTTGTATCTCCAGTTTGGCTTTCTAACCATGTAAACGTTAGCAAAGCTTTACAGCTTATCAGTCGAAATTTATGCTTCTTATTCCGGAGTAGAAGTCCTCACTAGGATTACTTTGTGAAATAAGCTGAAACAGTGATTAGCAAATAATTCAGCATACGATAAACCCTAAAATATTGTTTAGCATCAGTGCTACAGTAGCTAAGTAGCTGTATTATATATGTGGACGTAATTCGGTAATTTTTCTCTCAAGATTAATAATTACTA